GCAAGCACTCTACTAGCTGAGCCACAGGTCCAGCAGCGGTTTGTAAAATTAAGTTGAAATTATGCAACTCATTCCATTGAGAGTCAGTTTTTTTGTGTTGTTTTGTTTTTAATTGAGACAGGGTCTCACTGGCCTGGGTTCCAGGTGGCTGGCCTGGAGCTCGCTGTGTAGACTAGGCTCAACTCTAACTCACGGAGATCCACCTGCCTCTGCCTCCTAAGTGTTAGGATTAAAGGCGTGCACCATCACACTTGGCTTTCAATACCCATTGCTTGTGAAACAAGCAGACTGACTGCCCCAGGGATCTATATGCAGGTCATGGCTCAGGGTACCAGCATGTGGGTTGGGGCTGGCACATGGGCAGACGGACAGGCTGCAGACTGTCCTGCAGTGGGTGCTCTCTAGGAATGGCTGTTCTCAGACCCTGTCCAAACCTCTTGCTGTTGGCTGTGGTGCTCGATGTGGCACTAGCCAAGACCACCTGGCCCTTCCTTCCTGTTTCTCCTATTTCCCTGAAGGAGCTTTGGGAGGGGTGGCTGGCTGGCTGACTCTGCTGGCTGCCTGGCCCCTGCCATCCTCCTCTGATTCCTCGGGGTCAAAGGGGACAGACACCAGCATCTTAGGGTGCTCATGTCTCTTCAGGGCTCCTCACATCCATGTCCAGCACAGACCCACCCTCGAAAACTCCAGTTCCCCTGCCACACGCAGACTGTCACCAGGATGGATTGCTGGAACCCCGTGGCCCGGGCCCACCTTCTCTCTTCTTATTCCATCTAGCCTCGTGGGTAGCTGCTCCCGTGTCTAAGCTGCCCCTCCCTCCTTGGCCAGCTCCCGTTACCGCTTGGTTTCTAACCCTGAGCCCCCCAGCCTCTGGCCCGTACCCACTCCCCCATTCACAGCCATTCCCCAAACCTTAGCTGTCCTCATATATTTCCAGTCATGTTGGGTGACAGCCAGCCCTCTGTGATGGCACCTGGTCCCACTTACCAGTGTCCAATCCCGAACCTCAAACCCATACTTTCACCCTGCCTGGGAGCTCTTCTGCCACGGGCCCTAGTCTATCCATTCCTGCCATGGAGCCTCAGCTCCTATGGGCTTTCCTCCTGATAGATAGGAACAAGCATGGTGGCCCTGCCTCGATGAGCCCAGAAGCTGCAAACTCTGTGCTTGATGCAGGTCACAGTCTCAGGAGCCTCTGCCATGAAGTCATCTGCAGCCAGGATGTACCTAGCTTTAGGTTGAGGGACAGTGGTCAGGGCAGGAGAGCTTCCTGTGTCCTTTTACCTTCTGTCTGAGTGGACAGCCCAGGCTCATTGGCCCAAGGACAGCTCCCCTTTATAGCTTTGCAGCAGAGCTCAGGGCCACTTGTCCTTGATGTTCCCCGGCCTTGATTCCTTGGTTCTGGCAGCACATAGATTCCTCTGGGCAGAGGTGGGACAGTGCTGGGTGCCTCGGCCTGGTGCTGTTACTGGTGGGAGAAGTGGGGGAGTATACTGTTCTATAAGTGATAGGTTCCAAGGTCTGGGGGTGCTTTGATAGCCTGAGCAGGATGGGGGGGGGGCTAGAGGGTCAGGGGTTAGCAAGTGTATCACATATACCAGGGTTCTGGGAACCCCAGAAGATGTGATGTACTTGGGATCTAGGGGGTGGGGGGGCCCTTGGGATGGACCAGGCCATGAGACCCCTCAGGTGGCAGCCCACAGCCTCTTAACCCAGGTGGATAATGGGAAGGTGTTTGTGAGTCTGGGGAGGAGCTTTTGAGGCCTTTCATTCATTAGGACTCTACTTGGGCCATGTCTACAGGACAGGTGAGCCTCAGGCTGGGCCCTGTAAGGGCAGAGGCTGGCTAGGTCAGGAGGGCAGCTGGGGTCTGGCTTGGAGTCTATTCTGCTGGGGCTGAAATAGCCTCCTCTATATGGACCACAGTGTTGCCTCCTAAATCAGACTGGGCCACAGTGTGTCTGCTATAGCACCCCATCCCTGCCAAGTGCCAGTTGTTACTGGGGTCCCGATGTGGCCTTGGGTCTGAGAGCCACCCCTCCCAACCCCAGTGCATGTGTAGAGCTGATGGAGGTGGAGGTTATTTTATCTCTGAACAAACACTCATCCAGCTCCATACCACCCAGGACAGGGCTGTTTTCTTCAGCCCCTTCCTGACCAGCTGCTGGGCCACACTGATTAGCTCAGCACTGCATGGCTTAAACACAGCCAGCCAGACTGTCCTAGGCAGTCATGGAGCCCTGCACCCCTGCAGCCAGGCTTCTCGCTGGGTCCCCACATGGAGATTTGTGTGAGGGCGTCCTGTCTCCTCATGTGTCTGATCCCCAAATAGGTTTACCCCCAAGTGTTAGGGTAATTTGGGGGACCTTGTAGCCATCAGAGGCCACTTCTAAGAAGGTATTTGAATAGTGACAAGCGTTTGAAAATGAAACAAACCCACTAGGTGATCCGCCGGCTGGTGGTGAGTGGCCCATGGAGTTGGGACTGTGGCTCCCTAACGGGGCCACTGTGGTCAGGTGTGCTGTCTCCTGTGAAGCAGTCCGTGGTGGGGACTGGGAGTTTGTGCTTCATGCTGGTCAAAGATATGGACGGCACTCTGGCCAACAACCCTTCCAGACGAGGTTCTCAAGAAACAAACAAGATCTGTGCAATCTGGCAGCTCCCAGTTTGTTTGTTTGTTCCTACAGCGGATCAGTTTTGAGGGCTGACTGAGGTGAATGAGACTGTGGCTCCTCCCCTGGCAGGCTCAGCCACCAGGACAAAGCCCCTGCTAAGACCGCAGAGCCCATTAGTGCGACCAACCCCTTACTTTCCCCCACACTGTCACCATGCACACCCCCATCCCCAAGGATTCCACTTCACGGGTGAAATGCTTTTCCCATAAGGAAGGTGTGAACCTGTCCCAGACTCATGCTGCCTATCAGGCACTGCTCTTACCCTAGACACAAGCCAGGTGGTATGGATGCTATTTTTTCCTAATTAATAGCATTTGGACACAATGGGCAATATCCAGCCGCCATTCATGGAAGACTCTCTGGCAGGGGACTGGTGGGGGCAGGGCCAGCCAGTGTCACCGTCAGAGCGGAAGTCCCCTCCAAGGCCTGGCTCCTGAGGGAGGCAGGCAGGGAGCCAGCTGGAATCGAGCCTGAGGAGCACAATGCTTTGTGGCTTCGCGGGTTTGTGGCTTTGCGCAGTCTGCTAACACATGTGGGAGTGGTTTCACCTCCTCACCCCAGGCTTTCCCTGAGGGCCTCCTACCCATCTAGGCAGGCTAGGACTGAGGTGCACAGGTCTGGGGGCAGGGCTCCATATCTTGAGGGTCACAGTGGGCTGTAATTTGCATGAAATGCACATTTGCATATAATCTTTCCATTGCCCTCCAGGGCTCTATACATTTTACACTTGAGGGAACTGAGGCCCAGCTTCCCAAATCCATACCCAGGGTGAAATTCAGCCTCAAGGGCCTCTTCCTAGCCAGGTAGAAACTTCTGCCTCTTGGGTTTGCAGTCCAGGCAGACAGGGGGCATGGGCATAAGGACCCCAAGAAGGGTGAAGTGGCCCAGGGGCCACCTGCCTTCCACACCAGGCCTGAGGACTGAGCCAGGGGTGGAGTAGGCAGGAAGGGGCTTCTCACTTAGGACTGCCAGTCCCTATGGCAATGGCCTTGTGGTAGGAGCTGGAAAAGACCCAGGACAGACTGCAGGGTGCGGGCAGCTCAGCCCAGGCCCACCATCACTACCCCCCTTCCAGATGCTGTGTGTGTGATGATGCCCGAGTGTCACATTGAAGAGGAACATAGGGAAGAAGGGAGCGTGGGGGAGTATGCACAGACTGAAGGCCTCACCCTCACCTTGACCTCTGTCACTGTGATTCATGTCGGGCTTCCAGTGACCGTTCCTCTCACCCGTGGCATGGCTGCATGAATAGGATGAGGCTCTGTGGCTCTCACCCAGCACTGGGACAGACTGGGTAGACTTCAGCATTACTGTAGTTGGATTCCAGGTTGTAGTTAGATGCCGAATCTGGTGACAGGAGGCCTCTGTCTAGCTGGCGATGTTATTGAGAAAGTTACTACTCCACTTTGTTTCTGAACTTGGTTTTCACACCATTAACCCACAGCTGTTCACCTACCTACCTTTCCACCCAACTATCTACCTTTCCACCCACCTATTCAAACAACCACTCATTTATTCAACCAACCAACCATCCACCCTCCCAACCACCTACCCACCCATCCACTCACCCACTCACCCACTCACCTATCCCATCTGTCCATCTACTCTCCCATCCATCTATCCACCCACCCATCTATCCATCCACCACCCACACATCCATCTATCCATCCACTCACTCATCCATCCATTCACCCATCTGTCGGTCCATCCATTCATCCATCCATCCACCCGCCCATTCATCCTTCCATTCACCCTTCTTTCATCTATCCATCCATCACAGTAACCCAGATGCTAGCTCGGGGCCCCTCTAGCTTATAAACCCCTCCCTTTCATAGCACAGTGGAAGGCCTGGTCTACATGGGGACCTGAGGGAGCTGTTTCCCAGCAAATGCTGTACATGCCCTTTGTCCTCCTCCCTCCGGCTGGAGTTCTTGCACCCAGACCTCAGTGAAGGCCACAGGTGGTAGCCACAGTGTCTCCAGTGTGTGTCAGAGTTGTGTGGTAAAAGAGGCATGGCCCTCCCCTTCAGGTATAGGGCTTGAGCTCTGTGGCTCCATGAAACTGGAGGACACAGATACCAACATTGTGATGCCAGGCCCAGTCATTGTACCCCATCCCTGGAGAGCAGCAACCAGCCAGGGTCCAGTGTCCAGGGGCTCAGGTTTTGGTCTCTCAAGCCAGGTGCTGCACATAGGGACCACACGTCCCTACAGGTGGAGACCTGAGCCTGCTGCTCTTGGGTGTCCCTGAGCGGAGGCCCCTGGCACGGGTGGCTCGGCCTGAGTGGCGTGGCCTGCACTGCAAGCTCCCTGTCCTCGTCCTCAGGAGATTGTCCTGGTGGTATTCTTTGGGACGGAGTACGTGGTCCGCCTCTGGTCTGCAGGCTGCCGCAGCAAGTACGTGGGCATCTGGGGCCGGCTGCGTTTTGCCCGGAAGCCCATTTCCATCATTGGTGAGTCATGCCCACCACGTGTTGCTTCAGTTCACACTCCCCTGCCTGGAGTCACAGTCACTCCCAGAGAGTCCCCATTAGTCTGTCTGCCTAAGACAGGGAAGGGATAAGAGGGCCATGCTGGTCCTAGACAGCTGTTCCCAATGTCCCTTGCCTCTGCCACAGATACTGGGTGGGGAGGACACATACGCGACGTTCTGTCCTTGGGGCCATCTTGCCTCTTGCCTGTTCCTCCCTGACTCCACCTGGGTCAGATGCCTCAGACCCCCAGCAGCCCCCCCGTTGGACCCCAAGACCAGCAGGAAGTGACATCCAGCACTCCCAGCTTCCCAGGGTCTCTCCTTGACCAGTAAGGCTTGACAGTTGTCACTCTTGGTGGTGATCAGCCAGGCCCGAGGCTCTGTGTGCTCTGGATGGGGTAACGACACACATGTGGTTCACATGGAATCCTGGGTCCCCTGGTTCAGGCACCACTGTCGTCCAGGCTGGGTCACTGTCGTCCAGGCTGGGTCACTGTCGTCCAGGCTGGGCCACTGTCGTCCAGGCTGGGTCACTGTCATCCAGGCTGGGTCACTGTCATCCAGACTGGGTTATTCCCCAGGTTTTGGGCCCTGTTAGCAAGCCACTCGGGCGGGTCATGGCACACTGTCCCCATAGTTCTTGGTACTAGGCGATGACCAGCTGCCCCTCCTGCAGATCTCATCGTCGTTGTGGCCTCCATGGTTGTCCTCTGTGTGGGCTCCAAAGGGCAGGTTTTCGCCACATCAGCTATCAGGTACGTTGGCTTTTCTATGTCTCCCAGTAGGACACTCCTGTTGGCCAGGGAGGGGCTGAGCACCACAAAGCCCTGTCCTCCCAGGCTCTAGGTGGTCTTACCCTCTCTGCCTGGCTCTGATGTGCTTTTCCATGGTGGGTGGGCCAGGGGCAGGTGGCCATGACTCACAGCATTGAGGCAATAGGCTACCTTGGGTTCAAAACTTGACACCAGGACTTCCTACCTTCTGGGACTTGGGTGGTAATCCAACTGTGTGAGTACAACCTGGGTTCCCCTGGGCCTTCCCCAGAAAGTCATCAGGAGGGGCTGCTGGGAGTAGGGTTCTGAGACACCTGACCCGGCCTGAGCTGGGGAAGAACAGGCAAGAAGCAAGATGGTCCCAAGGGCAGAGGGACATACATGTGTCTTCCCTGCCCAGCGTCCTTGGCAGGGACGAGGGACACAGGGAGCAGATGTCTAGGATCAGCATGGCCGTCTTACCCTGCCTCTCTCCTTCCTTCCAGGGGTATCCGTTTCCTCCAGATCCTGCGGATGCTGCATGTTGACCGTCAGGGCGGCACCTGGAGGCTCCTGGGCTCTGTGGTTTTCATTCACCGTCAGGTGAGTGAGTCTGGCGGGGGAAGGACAGGAGTGGAACAGCCACATCAGGGTAACTGTTCACAGGGTCAGGGTGCAAGGGCTGACATCCCAGTACCTGGGCCTCCACTGGCACCAGGGTTAGGCAGGTACCAGTGCTTGGGGGTTTGAGGGCAGGGTCCAGAACCCCGGAGCCTTCCCAGCCTGATTGTCCCACCCCACACCCATGATGCCAGTGTCCCGATGTAAGGCTGATGCCTCCTTCCCTCCACTGGGCCTTAGAGAAATACACAACAGAGAACAGGTTTAGGAAGCTCTGAAACTTAAGCCCAGGAAGTCAAGGATGGTCTTGAGGCCCTTGGACACCTTCCAGAGGAAGTCTTTGCCTCACAGGGGCTGCTGTCCTATCACAGGGGCAGAAGAGTATGCGTGGACCTAGGTGGCTGGTCCAGGGCAGTCGCTGAGGCCATCTCACTGGCAGGTGGTGTGATCTGCCACTTTCAAGAGCTGTGACAACTAGGGTACTGGAGGGCGACATCCACAAGCAAATACACTGCAGTTGACAGAACGGTCTGGCGAATGCTGGCCCTTCCCTCTTTCACTGTGCTCGTGGGCTCTGGGCCATGGGGTGTGTGGGCATGGCTGACATTGTGTCTGTCCCCAGGAGCTGATTACCACCCTGTACATTGGCTTTCTGGGCCTCATCTTCTCCTCTTACTTCGTCTACCTGGCTGAGAAGGATGCGGTGAATGCGTCAGGTCAAATTGAGTTTGGCAGCTACGCGGATGCACTGTGGTGGGGGGTGGTAAGTTGGAGCCCTTGGGTGGGCCTGGTGGGGACACGTGGGCCTAGGCGGTAGGGTTGAGGCATTAGTATCTACTCTCTCAAGAGCTTTGCCTCTTGCACTGAGGCTCCTAACTGCAGTGTTCAAAACCCTTCAACCACAGATTTCTACTTGAGGCCGGTAGAGCCAGTCCAGTGTACCACCGGCTCAGTGCCCTGGGGTCCCTGTCTTGAAGCCAGAATGTTCTTTCAGCTTCTGTTTTGGAAGGGAAGGCTGATGGGACTCGACACCTCCACCACACGGTGGTCTTCACCTTGGAGGGGTCCTGGGCTCAGGGGTGGGGCAGGGTCAGGTGCATCTTTGGGGTTTGTGCGGGGCCTGGGAGCGTGAAGAGATGAAGCAGCATAATGGGCCTGGAGGGCCGTGAGGCAGGAGGAGCCCGGGTTTCTGTGGCTGTGGAGCCTACAGCGTCCCTCACGGCCCCAGGCAGCAGCAATGTGTCAGTCAGGCCCTAGGGCTATGAAGATGGCGTGAGCCTCCTGGGCCAGGCTAGCACCAGGTCTGCTGAGCTGCCAGTCTTCAGGGAGGCCAGTGCGTGGTGTGGTGACGCTGTGCACGGGCCAGTGGAGTGTCGATCAGCTGGCAGGCAGAGGAGTGAGGGCTTCTAGAGAGGATGGGACTGAAGAAAGCCAGGCTTACTCAGGGAGTCACAACCTAAGAACCATTGCTCATAGCCTTAAAGCCACTGACTAAGACATTTTAGGGGGATCTCTGGACTTCCAGTGTGCCCTAGGAGTTGGTGGCTACCACACAGCCTTTGATTCCTTCCCTGAGAGCTGGCTTTATCGGACATCGAGCTTTGGGAACCCCTAAGCTTTAGGAAACACAGGCACCTAACAGGACCAGCTGGCTCGGAGTAGGCATGCCCCCCCCCCAATTCCACTTCCTTACCGTCCCTTCAGCAATGGGGATTGTCTAGATGTTCACAGGGAGGCCTGGAAGAGCCGCCAGGGCTGGCACCTCTAGGTGGGATGTGAAGATCCTGGGGCTGACTCTACCCAACCCAGGGTCCTCAGTCTATTGACCTCAGCGCTCACTAGGCTAGTGAGAAAGGTCATCTGGACAGTGGCAGCCGTGGGGCTGGAACCAGGGTAGAGAAGGCACTACCTGTAAGGACGGCGTAGCAGAGACTCTGGGGACCTGGCGTGGGGTGAGCAGCCATCCATGGTGGTGACCTAAGTACCCTGAATGTTCCGACTAAGGAGGAACAACCCCTCACAGGCCTACTCCCACTTGGGGCTTCCTGCTTGTGGGGAGTGGGAAGCTGGGAAGGCCCATGCTCCTTCTATTCCTGAGTGCCCCAGGAGACTGGGCACACAGCAGACACTCTTGACATTGGCTGAGTTGATGTGTTTTCTGGAAGTTTCCAACGTTCCAGGCAGCTCAGGGAAGGCAAGGACATGCTGACAAGCTCCCAGGTTGGGGCAGGTCTCAGCTTCAGCCTCTGCCCACCCTGCTGGGGGCTGGCGTCCCCAGAGGCTGTGATGTGACAGGCCCGAGCAAGTTTGGTAGGACGGTTTAGCCCCCCAGGGTTAGGGAGCTTGCCTGTGGTAGGGGACACATCCTGGGGATGTGGCAGGGCCTTTGTCCTGTATATATGTATGTGTGTGTGTGTGTGTGTCTGTGTGTCTGTGTGTCTGTGTCTCTGTGTGTGTGTGTCTTTGTGTGTGTCTCTGTGTATCTGTGTGTCTCTGTGTGTGTGTGTCTGTGTGTATCTGTGTGTCTCTTTGTGTGTGTCTGTGTGTGTCTTTGTGTGTGTCTGTGTGTGTATCTGTGTGCTCTCTGTATGTGTATGTGTGTCTGTGTGTGTGTGTGTGTGTGTGTGTCTGTGTCTGTGTGTATGTGTGTGTGTCTGTGTGTGTGTGTGTCTGTGTGTAGGGGGACCACAGCCTGCTCCAGGCAGAACTTTCTGGTAGGAGATGGGCAGTGCAGGTGGGGTACAGTAGGAAGTGGTGGGTGACTGGCCGCAGAATGACTGGTAAGTGGTGCCCAGCCCCTGCCTGCTTTCCCGGTCTCCTGCTGGAGCTGCTTCCCGGCCACCCGGTCCCTGGCCCCCCAGCCCTCTGCAGAGGCGCCCCCACTCCCACACCTGTGCAAACATCCACCCGCCGGCTGGGAACACGGCCCCTTTGTGCCCGGCTTGGCAGTGGTGCCCCGGCCTGTGCCGTCAGCTGCAGCCCTGGCCTCGGCCACGGCGCACCCTGGCCTGGCCATTGTTCCGTGAGGCCCTGCGCCCTTGGCTGCTCAGGGTCCCCGGCGCCCAGCTCGGGGGCCAACAGCTCCCATTCATCCGGTGACTGTCTCTGCAGCTGTCCAGTGGGATCTGCCCAAGGCCCCAGTTATGGGCTGTGTTCCTGGCACCCCTAGGGCAATCATACCTTGAGGGCTGCAGGACAGGGCAGCCCAGCTCAAAGCTCTGCAGCCCCGTGCCAGTGAACGGTCGTCTCCTTTGTCTCTTTGCACCCTACCAGGGGAGCATGGCCCCACCCTGCCCTACCCCTGGGTTCCCCCACCTCAGGTGGGACAGGAGATCTGCTTAATGTGGAAGCCAAGTGTGTACTTACAGGTGGGAGCACCTCCCTGAGGCCGGACCCCTCTGGCCTCTGCTCTATCTGCCCCAGGCTGAGTCAGGCCCCAGGCCTCTGTCCCTCCACCCCAAGGGAGGTGTTGGTTGTACCCTGGGAGCTGGACCCATAGAGTCATGAGACATGTGTCCTGAGGTGGACATTGGCAATGGACGCAAGCCTGCACAAGTGGAATCCTCTCTTGCCTCTCAGTGGCCATGAGGTATCTTAGGGCCCTCAACTGCCTAGTGCTTATCCACTGAGCGAGTAAACCAAGTGAACAGGGCAGGGGTGGTGATGATGGTGATGATGGTGGTGATGGTGGTGATGATGGTGATGATGGTGGTGATGGTGGTGATGATGGTGATGATGGTGATGATGGTGGTGATGATGGTGATGATGGTGGTGACAGTGGTGACGGTGATGACGGTGGTGACGGTGGTGATGGTGGTGATGGTGATGATGGTGATGATGGTGATGGTGGTGATGATGGTGAT